TAAAAAAAAAAAAAAAAAAAAAAAAAAACTTAAGGGGGTTGAAGAGATGGCTCAGTGGTTAAGAGTACCAGTTGCTCTTCCAGAGTTCAAACCCCAACACCCACATGGCAGCAGCTCACAACTGCAACCCCGGTTCCAGGGGATCTGACACCCTTACAAAGACATACATGCAGGCAAAACACCAATACACATAAAATAAAAATAAAAATTATTTTTAAAAAGAAAGACAACAACTTAAATGATGCTTATGAATACCTACAACTGCTAGACTTAGTTGTTTTTAAGAAAATGGGACTGCTGAACTTGGTGGCACACACCTTTAGTTCTAGCACTTGGGGAGGCAGAGGTAAGAGGATCTCTGTATGAGTTAAAGACTAGTCTGGTCTACATAGCAAATTCTAGGCCAGTCAAGGTTACCGAATGAGACCTTGATTCAAAACAAACAAAAATAAAACAAAAAAAAAAAACACAACAAAACCCAACAACAACAACAACAAAAGGACTTTAAAATTTCAGGTGGGGCCAGGAATCAGGGGTATATGCCTTTAATCCTAGTACTCTGTGGGTAGAGGTAGGCAGATCTCTGAGTTCAAGACCAGCCTGGTCTACACAGCCAGTTTCAGGTTGACCAGGGCTACACAGAGAAACCCTGTCTTGAAAAAAATTCAAGAAGTTCCGTTTGGCACTGTGGAGTTAAAAGGAAATACACACAGCCTGGTCTCAGAGCTCAGAACACAGTCTGAAGGAAAAGCAAGAGTCAGAAAGAATGAGCAATGGAGAAACGGACTTCTAAGTAAATAGAAAGCTTTAGCAGTTGGGCTTAAATGTAGCAATCAAGCCAAGTTCTATTTACAAATCTGCTCCTGAGTAGAACATTCCAGAGAACCAACACTCCAAGGCTGAAGTGAAAATTGCTTCCTGTAATGCTACACCTCCCAACTAAGAATCAGAGGCTCTGGAATATGCCCTGTTGCTTCAGCCTCAGACCCTGGCACCAAAGTGGTTAAAGATTTGTTTAGAGGAAATAAGAGGACAGATAAGAGATAACAGTGGGCCACAACCACATGAGGGCCACATTGAGAACAAGCTAAACAGTATCAAGATCCTGCATCAGACTTAATCTTCTGACCCTTATTGGCTCACCCTCATCCCCATCCTTTACCCATCTCCAAAGCAGGGCTCTTGGAGCAGAATTTGAAGCAGTGTTGACTTGGTGAGTTAAAAAATTGACCCCAAATCTCTGAGTCTCAACATCTCTTAAAATGTCTGAATGTCCATCCATAACTTGTCTACTGTGTTGCAGCAGCCTAAAACAGCCGGGTCAGGATCAAGGTGCCTTTAACAAAATAGCCACAGATCTGTCAGTTTGCCAATCCCACAGGCCTGCCTCAGTCATGCAGGTGATCCATGCTTGATTCAGGCATACTTCCCCCTTAGATTCCATCTCTCAAGTCATGAGCCTCTCCAAAGTTAGAGCTGACTTACTAACGACTAATTGTCCTGGGACTCTCAGATGTCCCTAGTATAGTGGTCTTAATCTAGGACCTTGAGAGTCATAGTCAGCAATCTTTAGGTGACAACCAGGAACTTTTAACAGCCCCCAAGTGGCTCAGAAGAACATGAAGAGGATCTCATCCACCTCTGCCATGGGCAGGAGCATGGCTACACTGGCTCTTAGACCACTGAAATAGGTCTGCACCAGTTACTGAATTGCAGATGCTCAAAGCTCCTTGCAGCTTCTCCCCATCCCACACCCAGATTCCCCACACACACACACCCTCTCCTTCCCTCCACCAACCCAGCATCTAGCCAGACACATGGAGATCTCCACCATAAACCCCTTCTCCATTCTAGTTGGCTAGTGCCTATGTCTGGTTACTGAAAGTCTAACTGTTGCACTATGATACAGAACAGGGCCAAAGAGGTTACTCAAAAGCTGAGAACACTGCCAGAAAGCCCCGGATACTTCCCAGCCCCTTCCTGGCTCAGGAAGGAAGCTGCCTAGGTGAAGGTGACCTACAACCCTGAGCCTGCCTCCTCCAGCTAACACTGAATAGGCATACATAATGCTTGTGTGCTTCCCAGATTCTCCTCACTCGTGGTATTGGAGCCGCCCAGCCCCCCCCCTTTACCCTTTCCCCCCTGCCAGCCACAGACCTACCACACACCTCTGGATTTCCTGGGAAATGCAGAGCTGGAACAAGAAGGATGGCAAATATGCCCTCACAGCTCCTCTGCCAAGACTGCAAGTTTAATGAACTGGCCTAACCAACACTTGGGCCACTGATGCTGCCCTTGTTTATGCCTCAAAAGGAAAAGACTCCAATCTTCCCTTTTGGTGAGAGAAGAGAATATTCACAGATCCAGCAACTTCTGTTGTGACTAAGAAAGACAGTTGTGTAGGGTATGTGTTTGTGAGGAAAGACTAAACAGGTTAACACCGAAGATTCTTGCGGCAGCTCGGTGTCATTGGGAATAAATCACACAAGGACATTTTGCTTAAAATAGAGCAATCGTAAATGATCAAGCTGTCTGCCAGAGTTATGTCCTAGACCAGAGCAGAAACAAAATGTTCCCAAGAGGCCCTCAGTCCACTGATCTACGCTTTGACAAATAGAAAACTGTAGAGGTGGGATCCAGAGTATACCTTCAAATAAAATGCCAGGGAAGTGGGGAGCAGGAAACTATGGCAGACAGTGAAGTTATCCATCAGTCACTTTGGACCATGATTTAGAAGTAATAGGGACACACTCGTTAATAGACAAAAATAGATATGACTCACATCACATGGGATTTCTTGTTTCTAGATGGGGAGTGCTTCTTTTGTTATTTCCCCTTTTATTATTAAATGCTACTTACATGTGAAATAGATTTAAGCCATTTTATGATTATATGAGATCATAAAACAACCAAATCTGGTACATAGCTTTTTAAAGAACAGTAATTGCCAGTGCTATTGAGGTCCCGTTGTATGTCTCTCCCTTCTATCACTCCCAACCACAGTCCTGAATTCCTTGCCTATCTTTACCTTCTAATGTTCCTACATGTGGCATGTATGGAATTCTCAGCACTCCCAGTAGAGGTGCTTA